TACCTTGGTTAAATTAAAACTAAGAATACTGTAGTTTTTGACCGCCTTGCTGGTTGGATCATAATCCTGCTGCTTACTTCAAAAGAGTTTGGGGTTACAGGCATGAACTGATGGCCAATCATTTTCTAGGGTTTTTTGGCATAGAGCTAAATGATAGATTCCCTCCCATACAGCAAATCATTAATTTACTGAGGCAACAAAGCAGCCCAGAGCATCATGCTTTCACCACTCTAACTGGTGGTTCAATTCACTCGTTAAAATGATGCTAGGTTGGATTGATTGGATTGGACTGAAGCTAGATAAAAGCACAGTTTTGTTATGGTCCAATAAAAGGAGGACCTCACTTCATGGATTTTCTATTTGGAAAAAATTTTCAACAATTTTTTTTTTTAGCACACTTAATCCCATTAATTATAGTTTAAATACTAGTTGAAAAGACTGAATCTCTAAGTGGCAATCTATTGGTTTGTTCTTTGTTGGTAGTGTACATGCTTTACAAAGAAGCACAGTCCTGTCACATTTACTCTATCAAATCCTTTAAAGTCCTTGAGACAAAGGTTTGGCAGCTGTTAAACAAGATTTTTTCAGATCTTCTGGAAAGGACTGTCTGATAGCTTCTACTCCTACATAGAAATATTACAGCCACATTTTTTTCTACTGAGCAATTCACTGGAGGGCAGCCTGACACAGCTGACAAAGTAGAGAAGATGGGAACATGTTCACTGAGTTCCCTGGCACAAACTAGCAAATGTGAAGTTGTACTATGCTGTTAAATTCTGGACAGCAGCCTGCAGTGTGAGGGGAAGACAGCTTGTCCTGTACCCACTTTTCTTCCAGTTTCCTTTCTTGTTGCTTGGCACTGTCTCTGGACAAACGCATCAAACTCAGATGGCAGGAGAGGGAGGGTGGCTGGGAGTAGGTCGGCAACTTTCACAAATCTCAAGAATGAATAGCTGCAACAACACAAGGATTTGGATCAGGTTACACATTAATTAAATTTAAAAAATAAACTATCCCAAGAAATCCTAAATGATTTCTAAAATGTAACAATCACAGTGATTGCAACCTGTGTCTATGAGGTATCTCATATTCAGTAATTTTGATTCAGTTTTTTTTTCTTGAAAGGCAATATTATAAAAGCCAGATTGTACTCAAATTTATTTTATTTTTGCACTTTGCTTTGCTGTTCCATCCAGACTTGCTGCAGGAGGCCCTTAAAAATGGACTAGACTGAAACACTGAGGATCTCTACAAGAAGGATCAGAGCAGACTCTTACTGCTGAGAGGACTGAGGTCTTTTGGAGTGCAGAAGGTGCTCCTAAAGACCTGACTGTTGTGGCATAAGCCATCTTCTATGCTGTCTGTTGGAGCAGTGGCTTATCTATGCTGTAGCTGAGAGAAAGCGGATGGACAAGCTTATCAGGAAGGCCAGCTCTGTGACTGGATGCCATCAGGACTCAGTGCAGGAGGTGGGGGAAAAAAAGGATACTAACTAAATAACATCTCTGTTGGATAATTTCTCCCACCCCATGCATGAAGCTGTTGCTGAACTTGAGAGCTCCTTCAGTGACAGACTGCTGATCTCTAAATGCACCATGGAGCATTATCACAGATCCTTCCTCCCAGCAGCTGTAAGAAATTTATAACCATTACTGCTCCCAACATTCTCAATAAGTTGCTACATATATGCTGATTTTTGCTCAGTTTCTATGTTAGTCAGTTAAATAACATACTGCTGTAACACCACAATTTTCCCATTGTGGGACAATGAGGATTTTCTATTCTATTCTATTCTAAAAGGACACACAGTGAAACAATTTTAGCTTTGCTATAGCTTTGCTTCCCTTGCAGCTAAGCATCCATGGAGCTGGTGTGTGGATCCCCCTCTAGGGAAAAGGATAAGAGATGCTTGATATGGATAGTCTCTGGCGCTCAGATGGGTCTGTCAAAATATAATCTACTTATCAAAAAGGTCAGGAGGTAATTAAAACCACTTCAGAATGTCATTCACCATTTATTGGTAATTCATTTTAATCTGTACATGCAGATTAATTAGTTTGTTAGATAGCTATTAGTTATTTGGCTATGGCAGAAGCTGTTAATTAATTTGCTCTTTGGTTTCTTGGCTTAATTCATAGCAGGCAGAGAGATTACAATGGAGAACCCAAATATTCTTATATTAAGACAGATCAGAAAAAATATTTCCAGTAAGGTAAAAAGGTGGAAGCATTTTTCACTAAAAAAAGCACCCATGTAAAAACAAGTATTGCATTCATCTAGAAGAAAATCTTTCTAAATTTCATAACACATATCAAAATATATCATACTTTAACACATAGCTACGGTATTTTATTTTCAATTTTTATCTGCCTGGTTGGAATGAAAAAGCCCTATAGACCTATATCAGTGTTTCCTCTGAAAGCTTTGTGCATGGAGTATGACTATGCTGCTGTAAACAGAAACAGTTATTGATGACATCAACTATCGCCTGTATGGCAACATCAGATAAGATTCTTTCTCGAAAAAAACACTGTGCTTAAAACAGTGCATGCGTCTGATAAAAAATGTCTTTAATAAAAAATCCACCTTTGGGATATATTCCTGATAAAGTATTAATTAAAAATGTAACAAAGATTTTCTTAAGAAAAAATATTTATTTCAATGCTTGGACAAAAAAATGTATGTTTCTGTAGAATGAGCCGGATATAAAAACTAGGAGAGCATTTTTTCTAAGATATTATTCTTTACTGTTAAATTTCTCTCACCTGTGTCTATTTGTGTGTGTTTTCTAATTAATGTTTTTGAAATAAATAAATATGATTAAAAAAAAACTTTCTTTAAATATTGTTTATCTTTTGTGCTTGATTTATTAGTTACTTTGAACCTGATTAAATGCCTTTAGAATAACTTCCACAATAAAACCAAATCAAAAGTTTAGATGGAAGGTAATGTGTTAGTCTAATTAAAAACTTGAAATACGCCTATTATTGCATGCATTATTTTGAAATGACTGGAAATTAAACGCTTGTCAAGTATTAGATGCTTTAATAACAAGCATTTATATTCTCTATAAAAGAACGTCAAATTAAAGCTACTATTTTAAATCTATCCTACCATCAGACATTTAGATTTCCCCGAGTTTTCTTTAAAAAATAGCAGAAACCTTCTATTTATTTATTTTGTCTGCAACGAGTTACTAAAAATGAATGACTTAAGCTTCTTCTTCTTGTTGGATTTATTGGTGGTTGGCAACAAACATTTAGGAGCATATATATATAATTTCTAAGGGAAAAAAAAATAAAAAACAAAAAACAACAACATACTTTTACATAACTTTGTATTCTACCCGTCTATATCATGCACACATTCACCCTCTCTATAATCAAATTCTATGAAATAATTTAGTTTTCTTTAAAAATTGAATAATATTTGTATATGTTTACCTTCCAAATTCTTCCTCAAAATATCTAATAAATTTATATTTTCCTTAATACATTTAAACTCTCTCCTCATAGATCTTCTCCTGCTTTCATATTTATGACATTCCATAATAACATGTTCTATTGTTTCATATTTTCCACAGTAATCACCTTTGCCAGTAGTTTGCTTTTGAATTTTGAAAAGTGTATAATTAAGTCCTGTATGCCCAAATCTTAACCTTGTTATCACTCTCTCCTCCATTCTATTTCGTCTTCCATTTGTTCTTTTTCCTACTAACTTCTAAATTTTATAAAACCACAGTCCTATTTTTTCTTCATCCCATCTTTTTTTTTTTTGCAATTTTTCCATACATTTTCTTTAATAATACTCTTTTTAACTTTTACTTTTTACTGTTAAACTAATGGGATTTTGAATTGCCCTCTTTGCCATTTGATCTGCCCTCTCGTTTCCTTCTACTCCAATATGTGCTAGAACCCACACAAATACAACAATCAAACCCATATTTTTTATTATGAATAATGCATGAAATATTTCTAATAGAATGTCCATCCTACTATCTGACTGATTGTATTTTAAACTTAATAATGCAGAGCTTTAATCTGAACAAATTACTGTTTTTAATGGTTTTATGTCTTCTACCCATTGTAAAGCTGATAATATTGCCAACATTTCCCCTGTGTATACTGATAATCCACCTGAAATTTGTTTTCCTATTTTTATATTGAATTTTGGTATTACAAAAGCTATTCCTATTTTCCTTGTTATTTTTGATCCATCTGTATCATGCACGGTTCTAGACTGGGGCCAACAGGGGCCAACAGGGGCCAGTGCCCCTGTGAATGATGTCCTGACCCCTGTTATGGCCCCTGTATTGAAGAAATAATACTTAAAAGATATTCTAACGATGATATGTGCTGGAACAGACAGGATCACCGATAGCGATAGGTCCTTTGGATCTATTTCATTTTTTTTTTTTTTTTTTTTTTTTTTTTTTTTTTTTTTTTTTTACAAATTAGGTTATAAAAACAATAAGGTGATAGCTTCAGTGGTATTGAGTTAGGATCCCAGTTTTCATCTGCTAAATGTTTTTTTTTCTTCAAAACAAATAAAAAAAAATATTCACTCATTATCAGTTTTTCTTAATTTATAATTCAGATCTTACAGAAAATTGTAATTTTAACTGAAATAAAGTGATAAATATGTACAATTCCTACATTATGTATGTATATTGACCTCATAAGAAATAGATTTTTTTATTAAATCTAATTGAATAGAAATTTCACTTCATGCAGCCCTCTTAATATATTTGAATCCCTTGCCCTGTTTTTTATTTCACGCTTTTCTGTGCCCCCATGAAAACACTCTGGCCCCCTCTTGACCCCCTGGTACGTTTGGTCTAGAACCACCACTGATCTGAATAAATTTGAATATATTGATAATAATTGTCTAAATGTAACTGTACCAAATTAATATCTACCGTGTAGAATTCATCTTGTTTATTCCCCATTACTGTCAGAATGATTTATTGTTTAACATTATTTACTGAAAAGGTTCCATTAGGCGGAGTCACGTGGTGAACTTTGGGTATGATTTGGGTCAGTTAAACCCTGAGGAGGCAGAAAGCAACAGGTTGTCGGTGTGAGGGTCCCTCAACATACCGGTTTTTATCGTTTTAGACATGGTAAGTCTCCATTTTTACCATTATAGACCCTTTAAGTGGCATATGTATAAAAAAAATATATATATATATTAGATTCATGGTATCAGTGTCATGTTAGCTATCAGATGCTAATGTGATTTAAAAAGGCGGAATTTTTCAAATTAGCTTGACTAAAGCCACATTTCTACCACATTCAACATTAGCGTTAGCATCGCCCCCCCCCCAAAAAAATAATAAAATTCCGAGTTTTTCGTCGAATTTTGTTTCTTTTTGTTTTGGTCGTGCTTGGTGGAGGTCCTTGTGAGCTAAAGCGGGAGTTAAAACACAACCGCATGTTTTATGCTAATGGACCTAACACTTGAGCATGAAGTTATCGGACAAAACCTAATATTGTTATGGCCGCAATATTGATGGTAAGTTTTTGAGTAAATTTGTACATTTTATTTATTTTAATTTATTTTTTGGGGTGGGGGCGGGGTAATATATTTTTAATCAGGCATTGATGTGGCCTCCATGTAGCAAAACCGCTTAGCCTGCTGTTCAAGGTCAAAATATGAACTGGTTCGACTCTAAACTGTCTAAATATGTCATTTTTACTGTGATCGACAACTTGTATTAATTGTATAGGATTTATTTCTCAAGTTGGTGTTTTATTTTCTTCTAGGATTTCAGCAAGCCCAGAGGCATCATCCAGACCGTGCCTTTGAAGCTACCTAATGGATACATCCTGCCTGAGGGCAGGCTGACTCCCAACGCGCTCTTTGTTGGTGGGATTGACATGAAGGTGAGATCTAATAATTCAATTAAAATCAGATATTTATTGTTTTTGATTTTATGTTATAGGATTTTGCTGTTCCTTCGTTTTTTTAATATATATATATATATATATATATAAACGGTTTTTGTCTTTGTTTGTTATAGTGCTCTGAAAGAAACAGTACCAGAAACTGCAAAAATAAGATCAGACCTAGAAGGAAACCAGAAATGCTTGTCGGCCTGACAAGGCATGGTTGGTGCCTTTCTTTAAAATAAAAAAAGGGAAATTCAACATTAAGTATGATAAATCTGTATTAACTTTCTTTTTTAACAAATTAAATATTAAAATTAGCAAAACATTTATAGCTTGAAAGGATGTTTAGTGTTCTCTAAATACTAAATATACACTACATACATTTTCATCAGAGCATTTTTATCAGAGTATCCAGACTGACAGCTGATACATTTTTCAGTCAAGTTTATTTACTTTGTGCCAACTCTTAAAAGTTGACCCTAAAGCCGTAGGTTTAAATTTTAGTAAAAATTTAGTAAATGAATAATAAGAAAAGAAAAATGTAGTAAATCCAATTTATTCAACAAGAGCCCTAATATATAAACAGAATCAGACTCTAATACATGCAGTCATGATTTACAGTCTATATCAGGGGTAACCAATTAAAAATCAAATAAAGAAAATCATCAACCAGTAAAGGTCCATATACATTTTTAATTATAATCCGTTACTTTAAACAGAATTTATCAGTGAAATAAAATTAGGTTTTTATGCATCCATGTTATACATTGACTTTTTAATAAAAAAAAGAAGAATAGACAATTTTTCCATTTTAAAATCTAATGTGTTTTTTAAAGTAGAGAACAACAATCGTTCAGTTTGGTATATAGACAATTTCCTGATTCATATATTTTATAAAACACCTGAACTGAGCGTTTGTGTTTTTTTATTTTTTTTTTTTTTTATGGCTTAATGGAAGCAGTGGGCTTTAGGCTGGCCAGCAAGGTTTTAAACCTTGGTTTGAATGGTGACAAAGCCATTCTCAAGCACATATCAAGATGCTCATTCGTGAGTCTGGATCGAATTTAAATTTTTGATTGTGGTCATGGTGGAGAATCCTGCTTCACAGCAGTAGGTTGACTCAAAATGTGCAGGGTCATCTTTGAGCACATCATTTTCCGTCACCAGTTCACCGCGCTTCTTCCAGCAGTCTACACTTTTTTCAGATTTTCTCATCGTTACCCACCGTCCAGCTTGCCACATGTTTGCCTGCTGTGTCTAAGGCTACGTTCACACTGCAGCCTGAAGTGACCCAAATCCGACCTGGATCTGATCTTTTCATGGCAGTCTGAACAACACAGATCCGATTTTTTCCAATCCGACCCAGGCCACTTGGCTATGTGGTCCTAAATCCTATACGAATCTGATCTTTTCAAATGCAACATGTGTCTGAACGGCCGAGGTTGCATTCATCTGACCTGAACGCCATTAGTAAACAACAAAGGTCACTATTTTGCTTCTTGCTACACAGAAGCAGCAAGAAAAACATGATGATGCGGAGAGCAGTATGTTTTTTTAACCATCATGAAAAGATTGAGGTTTTAAGGCTTGGAAAGATCACTAGATGCGCTTCAGCGCTACAAACATGTTTACTTCCGTAAACACGAAGCACGCTGGCTTGTGACGTCATTGTGTCCTCTACTGCGCATGCGGGACACTTAAGCTGTATGAATGCAGTTTACACAGGAAATCACATACAAGTCGCATATATTTGGAAATGTGAACGGCAATGCAAAAAAAATTGGATTTCACAAACAAATTGGAATTAAGCATCAAGGCCTGCAGTGTGAATGTAGCCTAAAAGTAGATAGCAGCAACAGCCCTGAGTGGCACAGCTCATTGACTAATATGCGTCACGTGGAGCCTGCACCCGGAGGGCTTAACTGTACAAACAGCAGAAGGTAGTAAGTGAAATTAGACACTGCCGTCAAGACAGCATGCTGTAATTTCTAAATGTTTTAAATCAGGTTGGGTCTGGATTAGCCAGCAGGTGGGTCCGGATCCGGACTGTGGTCCACTAATCCGTGACCTCTGGTCTATATGTTATATATTGAAGGCTAATGGACATTTTTAGTGTAAATAAATATTCTTTGTGGTTTTTTTTTTTTACCCTAAGGCGGATGAGAATGAAATGAGGGAGTTCTTTGCAAGATATGGCAATGTCAAGGAGGTGAAAATAATCACATACCGTGGAGGGGTCTGCAAAGGGTGAGTAGTGATTTCTGATACCTTCACAGGTTAAGCTTGCTTTTAAGTTTGTCTTTATAAAGGTAAATCATTGTAAATGGGGAAACACAGAGAAACTTAAACATGACTTTTCTTAGCAAAGAGTGCAAGAATCTCCTGTACTAGGTAGTAGTTTGTTCCCTGGTGCAAACTGACATAACCTCAGTGTTTAAACTCACTGTCCCAAAAGACGTATTATTTCTACCAATCAGTGGGTACAATAGGGTGGTAAACAAGGGCCCAGTTTAATAACCTGAGTAGTAAGCAGATACTGTGAGTATTTCTACCCCTCTCTTCCCTACTCAAAGTTTTCAGTGAAGTGATACCAGCAGGGTGACCAAACTCAGAATCTAATCAACTCTGAGTTTAGTGTGAGAGCAAGCATATAAGAAGCCCTCATCAATGGAACACAGATGACTTAATTCACCACAGCTACGGCATCACAGAGGCCTCAAATAACTCAATTTGTGGCCACACCTCCCAGGGCATAGGGAATGAGGATGGAATGTGGGCTGAATCCTTAAAAGGAGGCCTCAATTATCTTTATATATATATGTAAGAGCAAAAAGTCCTTTATTTGGAAACGTGCTAAATAACAAAATTGCTAAATTCAAATCATTTTTGCGAAATCTTTACATTTGGTGTGTATTTCTTTTGATATGCATTTAATGTGTGTAGGTGCAACATAACAGGCAGCAATTAATGATTTGATGCTCCAAAAATGTTAGTGTAGCAGAATATTTTGGCTCCCCATTGCACAATAAAGGAATTTTCTATTATATTCTATAATAGTTACTTGAAAATACTCCCACATGAATCTTATTTGGTGTTTTCTGTAAATAATACAATCTGATGTCTTTATTTGAAAAATGAAATAGAGATATTTCTTTAGAAAAGAAAACATCTAATTATGCTCTAATCATCCTCTCCTGATGGAGATAGATTCAGGGTTTTCTGTGCCCCGTCAGCAGAAAACAGCACATTTCCAACACCAGCTTGTGCAGATCTCTGATTAAAAAAAAAAAGTAGGAAATACCCAGGATTTCTTCCTTCACAAAGTAATGTGTGGATGTAATTGTGCTCAGGCTAATGATTAATTTATACAGGAAAGCCAGGGTATGCAGGAATTAACCCCAGAACTCACTTTAGATTGGAAACAGGCCTTCTTTGTGAAATAGGGCCCAGTTAATTGAAAAACTGTAGATCTATGTTTCCATTTATCATCAGGGTTGAATGCATTGACCAATAATTTCATGAATACGAAGGACTGTCTCTTCATCTGTCACTAGGTTTGGTATATTAGGCAACAAATGAGGATTATGTCCTAAAAGATGATGTGTTAAAAGAAAGAAAGATGGTCAAGTGGAAAGATTTGTTAGAGTTGGACAAAAGCATATTTGTAGTGCCCAGACTTTGTCTTTGAAAGTATCAATATTTGTGGTATAAATGTGATGTATGTCATTAGTTTGTGTGAATCTTATTTTCTCATCCCTATTTTCTTTCATTCAATCGATCATTTGAACTGCTTTGTCTGTAGTTATGGATTTGTGTACTTTCAAGAAGATGTGAACATTCAGTCAATCATTGAGGTGAGTAGATGCCCCTGTATGTATGTAAAACACCCAGGATTCTCTGTAATCTGCTTAATTTTTTTTATATTTTACCTTTTAGCAACAGATCATTTTTAAAGGGCGGAAACTCAAGCTGGGACCAGCGATCATGAAACAACGGAGTCCTCGTATGTTTATAAATTCATTTTAGATTGAGCTGAGATTCCTTGCTTTTTAATCCATTACTCTTCTCTGACTTTGCAAGAGTTCATCAGTTTCCGTTCTAATGTGGCCCATTAAACCAGATGTACTTCTGTTTTTTATTTTTATTTTTTCAGGGTCTGTTCCATCCCGTCTGGTTGGGCCCTCCCCTTTGATGAATCCCTCTCAGTATATGTACTGTGCATGCTGCTCACCTTTGGGAGGAGTGGTCACACATCCCTCACCTGCCTTCAGTGGGGCCAGCCCCTATAATCAGGTGACTCTTTTTCCAATGTTTGGCAGGCAGACTGATTTAAAACTAAATTGAGCCCTTGCTTGAGAAGCATTGATGATCATTTTGAAATTGAAAGGCATCACTTCTCAAACCATTTTGTTTTTAGATAATCAGCCTTCATTTATCACCATAATATTATTAAGCTTTTTTTTTTCTTGATTCTTGGATCAGCCGTACCCATACAGCAACTTCACTGGAGTAATTGTTCCCCAGATGCCGATGAGTTACACACAGAATCCATACCCCTACCAGGTGAGCCCGTCACATTATCACTGACCCCTCGCACCCCCACCATGGACTGTTCTCCCTGCTGCCCTCTGGGAAGAAGCTTTGAAGCATTCAATGAAGGTCTAGTGCAGCGGTCCCCAACCTTTTTTGCACCACGGACCGCTATATGTCAGACAATATTTTCACGTCCCGGCCGGGGGGGGTAAATACGATCAAGTAAAATGATACGACTGGCATAAAATCAAATACAAACAGCATAAAAATAAAACAACAAGCGGTCCCATCTAGGTGTAATCGGAGACAATGACACACGAGGTGTGCTCCTGATGTCCAGTCTGCTTCGTAGCTTTGTTTTGGTCGCTGTAACCGCAGAAAATCCCGCTTCACAAAGATAGGATGTTATAGATAGCATGAGTCCTGAACTGAATTAACCTGTGTCAAGAGGCACAGATGCACCGAGTGATGTAATTGGGAGAGAATACCGCAATTTTTTATATTTTTCAAAATAAAACACCACTGAGACTCTGATCATCGATAAATTTTATATATATATATATATATACACTTTTTTTCTGTGTGGCCCGGTACCAAATGACTGACGGACCGGTACCAGTCTGCGGCCCGGTGGTTGGGGACCGCTGGTCTAGTGGATTCCGAAACAGCTTCTTCCCCACCTCCATCAAACTGCTGAACTTTTGAGATAACTCTAAATGATGTCACAGACTGCATCACACTGATGCCACCAAACCAAAACACTGCATATTTGCGCCATATACATTTAATGCTCTGAACTTCCATACCAATGTTTTTTTGTTTTTTTTGTTTTTTTTTTTTTTGCTGTCACACTGTTAATATTTGATCATTGCTGCACTTTACGAAATGGAATTGTCATGAAAGCTGTGCAAAATGAATGTTTGTTTTGTAGACACAGTATAAACAAAGTTGTCTAAGTCTAATGTAAATGCAGAAACACAACCAGTGGCAAGAATTATCCCACATTGCATCTAGATCTATACTTTTTAAATTGCTGTGCTTGAATTTGAATATCTGCAGAGCCTCATATTATTGTGATACCAGAGCTCTGTTTGCTTTCATGTTATTACCCTTTTATTGGACTATAGAGCGCACCTCACTATAAGCTGCAGCCACTACATTGTTTTGAAAAAAACTTTAAATTTACATATATAAGCTGCATCGGGCTTTAAACTGCTGATATCTACTGAACTGTCTCCCACTAAACCTCTAGAGGAGTCCTACATATAGTCCCTGGAGTAGGGATGAAGAAGCATGCTAGCTCCCGTTAGCTTTGGGTTTGCAGCAGTAAGAGCTTATACTAAAAGATGGGGCCTCGTCTGCTCTTTATTTCAGCTCTACATGAGTTGAGCCCAGTCTTTTCATTGATTCAGCTTTAATGCGGGAAAATGTGTGAATTCAGTACATTTGTTCTTCGTTGTGCCTGCTGCTAGTATATTTTGTGCTGAAAAAAATTAGCCCGTTATTCTTTCATTTCCAACTTGGACTTCCCCCTCTGGCCGTTAGGAAAAATCCACAGAAAAGCTACAGCTTCTTATTAGCTGCATGGTTCAAAGCATGAAGAAAAAGTAAAGGCTTATAGTCTGGAAAATACGGTACTTATTCTTTTGTTGAGGCTTTTATAAACTCCTATGTATAAGTATATGTATCAGTGTACACATCTATATCTCAAAAGGCAACTTGACTTGGGTCAGAAGAGGAAATACAAATGGTATTATATCGTTACATCTCTGGATTTCCTACTTTACATTGTTTTTGCTCGTAAAAAAATATAATAATTTGTTGATTTAAAAAAAAAAAAAAGCTTGTTTTGATGCCCCATATTTTTCTTTAATGTGCAGTACACCCAAGCTCCTTGGACACCAGACCAAAGGGCTCGACCTGTCAACCAGGTAATTTCTATTTTTTTAATTTTTTTTTGTTTTATTGCTTTCAAAGGTTTTGCAAATATTTGCTATGAGTCTTTTTTTTTTTTTTTTTTTTCTTTCGTATTTTAGTTCTGGTTTGTAATATTCATGGGCTCCACTAGAGGGCGCCGTTGTGAGTATTTTGACTTTTGAAGCAAACACTTAACTGTCTGTTTTCTGATTGTATCCCCTGTTATTAGAGCTTTGTGGACTGTGGAGTCCAGACTATGCTGACTGTGCAATAGTCTAAAGCTGTTAAGCCTCCTGCAAGGTAAAACTGTTCATCTGTGGGAAATGAACGATAGATATATCTATTTTTTTTTTTTTTTTTTGTAAATACCATGTGTCTAGGAAGAGTTACTGATGTGGCATTTATCATAAATGTCAATGGCTATCTCTATTCAGAAAAGTTTAGTAAAACTAGATTTCAGCAGATTATGAAGTAACTGAGGAATGCCTGTTTTTAATTTGTGACGTTTGAGAAAAAATTTTCTGTTTAAAACTAAATCTGTTTGTCCTAGTATAGAATTTCATAAAATGTTTATTATGAAATACACAACAAGAGCATAAGTTCATGCTTGAAGAATCCTTGCTGTTTAAATGCTTGCATTTTGGTTCAAAATACAAGAACTAAATATTGGTGTTTACAAAAAATAAACAGTTAAAAAAAGTTTTCATTTGAAAGAAACTGTTCAATCCTTGTGATCTTTCATCTCTTCTAGATGGAGCCTACGGTAGCTTCAACAAGGTAGGATGCAGACGAGTTATCATCTTGTCGTCCTGGACGTCTGAAAGCCTCCCGACCAACGCTGTGTTTTCCGAACACCTTCGCCTCCAGTTTTTCAGAGCCTTTTTAACACCAGACTGCATGAGCTTCCCCCTTAAACCGAACCACGTAGATCCCAGCCTCTTTAACCCAGATTGGTGACGTTGACCTGTGGTCGGCTGCTTTTAATTCACACGGATCACAGAAACTTTTTATAGAGCGCACTCACTATACCAACCAATGCATGGGATCACTTTTTTTTTCTTTTGTAATCCCAAAACAAAAACACTTAAATATTTTAATCTCACTTTTTTTGTTTATTTATATTATGTTTAATTTATTTTTTTCTATTTGTTTGGTTTGGTGTGTTTTAAGGGCTCTCTGTACATAGAAGTGTTTATATTTGTAATGCTAACAATCTGTTTTCTACACTGTATTTTCTTCAGGTCTAATTGTCCTCTAATTAAGATATTAACTTTCCTTCAGCATAAAGGCACTGTCATACATTTTAAGCACTAATATTTTGTGCTCCTTTTTTATTTCATTGGGTGTCAGTGTGGTGAATGCAAGGCTGCTTGGGCCTCAACTCATCAGTGTTTTACATTTTTGTTTTGGTTAAATGTTGGTCGCATGTTTCCAGATTTTCACGGTCGACAGTCACAGCAAAGATACTCATGAATAAGCAAATGTTAAAATAAAAAGGATGGAATGAAGGGAGTTTTTCACAATTTAGGTGCTTTGTTACACTGAAAAGGTTTATTTCTTCTTTTTTATACTGTTCACTGTTTGAGGTTTCTCTGTTTTTATATCTTGCACCTGATAAAATTTAATTTTATACAGCTTCATAGGGATGGACATGTGCATGTGGTGTACACCAGTTTTTTTTCTTTTATATCTTTCTGTTTTTGGACATTGACCTTAAGTTTAGCAGGCACTACTGTGTTGAGTCGTTTTCTTCAGAGAGCCTGAGAATTGTTGGAGTTTTTGGTATTTCGATTATTTTGTTAAATAAAAGTTAAATTTGTCATTTTGTCTACATTTTATTTTAAGTTTTCTCTTCCTTAGAAAAATCAAAATGTAGAAGCTTGCATGATGTGCCTTGACGTGCATAGAGTTGTGGAGAGCAGCCTGGCTTGTTTTTTTTTTTTTTTTAAAGCTCTCATCCAACTCCGTCAGGTTTGCCTGGCAACAAGCCCCCTTGTCTTCTGGTCACAGCGTTTTGTTTTTGTCACAGCCCAATGGTGTGACCGGATTCCCCAAAGCGCCCTCTCCACCCTTTGACCCACCCCTCCCTCATCCTGTTGTCAGACGTTTCTGAATTATGGATTAGTCTGGATAGCTTCCTATGAAATATAAATTCTCATAAGAAGACCCTTGAAATGCATAAAAATTTAACCTTGATGGTAGATTTACAGGATTCGTATGCAGTCTGACGAGTGACTTGGGTTGTATATAAATAGTTTCCAGGTCTGGATAAGTGAAAAACCATTTGTATTTCCAGACTATTCCGTTTCCACCCACTCCTGTAATCTGTCTGTCAACCATCCCATTCATGTATTCACCCATCTATTTGTCTCACCGTCCATCCATATGGCCAGCCATCTATTCCGTTCTTTATCCATATTTAAATGAAGTTAGTGAATCATTCATTCACTAACGCATCTTAGTTGTCCATCACCCACACATCTCTTATTCCTGTCTATCCATTTGTTGAGGCATCTATTAATTTATCAACCATCTATTCACTGATCATTGCATCTTCCCTTTCATCATCTATCCATTGTAAGGTCTATTTCACTTGCTCATCTCTCCAACATGTTACATTACAATTATTTAAACTTTAGTCCAATTTTTACATTTTAGAAACCTAATAAATTAATGGAAACTGAAGGAAAATGTGTGAAAATGAATAAAAAGTTATTCGAATCAGAATGAGATGAGCACAAACTTTTGACCTGTAGGCTATATTCTCTACATTTCTTTTTTTAAATCCATTTTTGTTCATATATCCCTTCTACCTTTAAATTTCTTTCCCTTCTTCCACTTATTAATCAAATGTATTCCAGATCACATATTTGAAGACTAATCCCTGCTGAAATATAAGCCATTACTTTTATAATGCATGCTTTAGAATCTGATAAAGAATAAAATAACTCTCTAAATGTTATAAAAACAAGTCAAATTTGAATCGTCCAGCTGTTTTATGTATAAATGGGTAAATCAACAGTTTACAGGACGCATATTTCTTGGAGAGTTTTTTACGCAAGAGGGGAACAACGGGAAGGCGAGGGGAGACGATAATCCGCCCTCTTTTTCTCTCCCCTCCTGAACACAGACGGAGTGTTTACAGTGAGATCAGTTTCCACTCAGATGTAGCTCCTAGATGAAGGATTCAGGTTTTCCTCCCATTGGATCGCAGTGGTCGTGGGAGCCGCTGCGTGCCGTGACGGGGACAGACAGTGAAGACATTAGAGGGAGAGAGGAGGATTCAACACTTCCTAAACACACAGAGACCGTCTCTATCTGGTGAGTATCTCACTTTGCTTCTTTAATAAGATGTCTGCAGGGGATTTAGGCACCGCACTGAAATAAAAGTGACTTTCCAAATATTTTGGGGGGATAATTTTAACTGAAAATAATTAGTTTTTCACACAGTAGCTTTTAAAAACAACTTTAATGCCAGCTTATACTGTTTCAGAGCCTTTCACAATAAAAGCACGATGGCGACCATTTCCGAGCAAATATTCAGTGGACTTATTTTATTTTCCTTTTGTCTATTTTTTTATTTTTATTTTTTTTTAACGTAGCAGCTCAATCTGAGGTTAAACTGAACTAACAGATGCGTGACGGAGTGGCACCGCGCTGGATGTGTCCGTGCGTAAAGTGCGCGCGCGCGTTTCACTGCGAGAAAAGCAAAAGGCGCGTGTGAGCCTTTAATGTTCATTAAACCGGTGCTGGAACTAGAAGATAACTTTTCAGTTTTTATCTGTGTAAAATGCTGAGGAAAGCAGAAATAATATAATATAGTCTGTATGCGTTAAATTAACACCTAAACTCTATTGCATTTGTTTTTTTTTATGAGGGGGTTGCGGTTACAGTACTTTTTTATCATTACAATTCCTTGGATTGTTATCTTCTTTTTTTTAAACAAAAAAACAACAACTGGGAGCTACCCCAGCCATGTGGGATGAGCTGATTTTTGGGGACCAAAAGCATACAATTTCAGACTGCATCCAGAGAGTATGCATGAGGCATTAATTAGCTGTGTGGCTACTAAATACAGGGACAGTGAGAGAATCTATGAGATCCTAAGAGGAATGTGATTTTACAGAACCACCAGGGGTGGTATTAGACAGTTTTTTCCATTGGGGAACAGGACAAGAGAATTTAACAAACAAGCAAAACAAAGAAAACTAAGTATCTTATTGTTTAATATATTAAGTGAGCCAAGGAGCTATTTGCTTCTCCCAAGCTGTAGGTTACAGACCTCTGATCTAGAAGTAAAACTGTAAAGGTTAAAAATTAAAACATTTTCAAAGAGACCAGTCTGTTACAATTTCTGTGCTAGCTAGTATCATTATAGATTGATTTTAGTTTTGTCCTCAGTACAGGGGTCATAACAGGGGCTAGTAGCAGTTCTACAGCGACCCGTCTACAATCACCCAAGGGGCCAAATTCCAACCAAACCTTTTTCTCTCAAGGAAGGAAGACCATTGGTGGAGTGCCATATTCCCCATAATTAGACTTAAAACTGCCTGATATGATGACCTTTACTGAAAGTAGCACAATCTTAAAGGTATAGTGGAGGTTGTTATATTTCTGGGTGGATCATCAAAATAAGTGGTCCTCCTAATTCTCAATCATTCTGATGATATGTTTAAATATGGCTGTCCTATATGCTCGCCCCCATTTTCACTTACCGGTGGTGAGTCTGACATAGTGGAAAATTTGCAAATCTTATTTTGGAAAGTAATCTGTATGAGCGATGCAAACAGCAACTTTTAAACAGAGCGTGCACGAGGAGAGATGGGCTGGTGCACGCCTTTCGCACACGTTTAATAGGAGATCTCTCTAGGGAGCAGGTATAGGGTTGTGCATGTGTTTTTTTTTTAAAGTCAAGAGAGGGGGACTTTTCAGAAATTTGCGAAAATCCTCCCCCATACCTTTAACAGATCACCTGCTTCTAGATCATATTTAGATGAGTTTTTTTTGTGCTTATAAGACAGATTAAATATATTTGATACTCAAACATTCATAAGGTCCATAAACGGAGTTCATGAAAAATTATTTACTGCCTACCCGAATACACTATTCAAAACTAAACTAATTAGCTTATGTTTGAGTTTTATTTATGTGTGGAAACTATGTTAAAGAATCATTGTTTACATATATGATAAAGGACACTTTCTGGATCCAAGATGAAGCTAAGTGAGTCATAACTGTAATTTCCAACCAGACCTATTACACTCTTTTAGCTTAACAACCTCTGCACCTTCTAATTCACTGCTGCCCTCATAAAATGATGGAGCTCTTCCTGAGTGGCAATATGGCAGGACAGTTTACCATTTATTCCATTTTAGTAAAAAAAAAAAAAAAAAATTTGGGTAATGTGACACTTGCCCTGATATAAGGATCATATTACATAGACCCTAGAAATTGCTTAAAGTTATAAGTTTCTATTATCTCTATCTGTGTTAGGCTTCCTTTGGTGAGTAGTATTGAGGCTTTTGGGCTGAAGGGGGGCTCCATTGTTTGCTTTCACATCTGTAATTGAGGGCTGTACCACTTTTCCCCAGTAATTTTTTTAAATTTCTTAATAATCCTTTTTTCCTACTGGTTTTTAGGAGAGAACAACCAGGCAAGAAGTTGTGCAGCAGAGCAATACATCACTGTCATAATTAGTTTTTATCCTCCTTACACAGCCTCATTAAAACACTGTTTGAGGTGACTACATTTCTGCTTAGAGGTATTGTACCTCCCTGCAGGCAGCTTTACATGCTCCCCACTCTGCTCCCTGTCTATCTGTCGCTCTCCATTTCCTCCTACTGTCTCCCCCCCCCTCATTTCATATTGCCCCCTCCTCCCTCCATCCAAGGAATCATCCCACATCTGAGACGTGGGGGAAGCCCAGTGGGAGGGATGGCCCACTCCACAGGAATCAGTCTGTCACCTCAGATTTTAAAATGCAGTGGAATATAGCACAATCATGTGGTGTACATTCAAGCCCGATACAATATAGATCTATAACAGCTCAAGCTTTATCAGCCTTATCAAATTATCTTATAATTGTCTTTTTTTGTGAGACTGTAGGCATCCGTGCAAAAGTAACTAGAACTAAATTCAGGTCCTTTCCAAAATTATTGAAGCATATTTTCTATTAGAAACAACAACCACAAACAAGACAATATAATCTTTTAAAGCGTCCCAAATAAATTCTCACAGGTCCTGTTGAGCATCTCTCTGCACTTGCCTCAGTGTGTTTCTGTGGATATAGGCTGGGCTCTGTGGGCGTCAAACCATCTGTTGTAGGGATCTTGTTCTTCTCACTGTTGAAAAGACTGTTTTTCACAATAAAGTATTCCCACTCTGCACATACTGAACACATACACATACTAACTAGGATTTTTCGTATAGAAATATGCCAAAAAAAAGCTTTAGACCAAACTGAACAAGTCATTTATCCTTATTTCAGATGTAGTGAAAGAAAAATTGAATCAGTGGATGCTTAAGCGGAGAGTTTGTTAGAAAAAAGTCAGTGTATCTCATTGTTTAGGAAAGTCTGTCGCCCAGTTTGCTGTCAGCCTTACTGGTATAAGCAATGGTTTTCCTAATGTTGCTGCTTGCCTGTACTACTTCACTGTCTAGAGTGAAACACCTTACAAGTTAGGATTTCTTGTGTATTTGTAAATTTCTTCCCTTCAACAGTTTGTGGATTTGGCTATTTTAAATTTTTTAAATACCCAACATTTTGGCTAACAATAATAGACAACTGCCACTGCATTTTATATCAACCGTACTTCAGCTCTGATTTTCCCATTTTAACACTTTTTTATCCTTTTTGTACAGTTCATGTTGTACAAAATCTGATATGAAATTATTCTGCCAACTACTCTGTTTTGTACCGATCATTTGCTTGCTCATACCTGATGGTGGGAAATTTATATTTTATTTACAAAAAAAAATAACTCATAAGCCCAAGTTTAAAAATGGTTCGAAAGAAATGGAAGTTTGGAGGAATGAAATGACGATACAAAAGTAGAAAGTGCATTAATCTGAACCTACCTGGCGGATGTTTAGGAAATGCTTTGACAACTGAAGATTGAAGGTAATTTTCTGGCATCTGCTCATATTCTGTTTTTAAGGAATATGTGAATCCAAGAACATAATTTCTCCAAGGAGGAGGCTTTATTTTTTATTTTATTTTTTTTCCCCAGTAATTGTTTTAGGGACCCTTTGCCTGCCTTTTGTTTGATTTTTTGTCTCTGTTATTTTTTTTTTTTTTTGAATTGTTTCTCCACTCACATTTTGTTTCTCTTTTAAAATGTTCTGAACACTGTTATATTTCACAGGAGTAAAGTATCTGAATCAGGGATTAGAATCAAAATAGATGATAATAAAAGCAATATTAATGAAAAAAGTTGTCAGAAACCATACAGTTACATAAAATATGAGCTTCTCTAAGGCTATGGTACCTGGTTCCTTAATATGTCCATCTATTTAAAAAAAAAAAAAAGAAAGAAGAAAAACACTGATATAGTGTTGTAGTTTTAGGTTCTTGGAAAAAGGATGAGATGGGAGGAACCAAGCTGAAGGTGGGGGGTCATTGCCTGTGAGCCAGGGGAGAATATTGTGAGGACAAAGCAGTGGCTCCACTAATGGCTCCTCTGCCCAGTCTTTGTCTCAAAGCACACCACATTTTCATGCTCAGTCCTGTTACCCCCCCCTGAGCTGTGTCGCCCCACCTTAACAGTCAAGCAGCCTATCATCCAAGATTGCCACTAAGCATCATCCATACATAATGGAAGGTTCTCATCATCTCTGAAAAACAGAATATAACAAAGTTGATGTTATTGATGTAAAGTAAAGTAAATTGAAAGAATGGAAAAAAAAAAGAAAAATAGGAGCTTTTGAACCACTCTGCTAACTTTATCATGGCCTGTTGCCTGTATTTCCTCTGCACATGTCATGCAACCTATATTAGTATGTACTTATAATCCCATAAGAAGAATTTAAATATAAAAACAGAACACATAGCTGTGCAGTATGTTCTTTTTCATATAATGCTTTTGACTTCATCTGATGTTTAGTGAAAAAAAAAAGCTATCAGGTGTTCTAGTATTTTACCCTCTCTACCTAATTTCAACAGATTTATCTTCTGTCTTAGTCCACGTGCAGCTTTTCTCTCCTTTACAGACGAATATTGCATCTAGTAAAACCAGCATCCCTGAAGTGACACTGGAGGTAGTAGAGCAGCGACAAAGTGCAGGCAGATTATGCTCTCACATAAATCTCCTGTCATTTCAAAACCTCTCCATTACAAAAGATTCTCTAATGAGAAGCCCTCTGCTATTCCCTGTCTTTCACCTCAATCTCTCATTTTTTTTTATTCCTTTCATCTGTCTCTCTGTCATTCCCGTCAGTCCCTTTTCAGCAAAAAAAAAAAAAATATATATATATATATATATATATATATATCTTTTTTTTTTTTTGCTGTCAAGGCCTTTTTCTCCCAGTGTGTTTTTGTGACAGCAAGGGAGAGATTGTGTTTGAAGTCAACTCACAGAGAAAAAGGCCCCTAAAAAGGCCTCAAGTCTTAAGCGCCGATGAGCTTCTCTAGCACTACAACCTTGTGTTTTCGCGTCGGTGTTGTGTTCAATTAGAGACATGTTTTTTAACCCTCTCTGACAGAGTTCATCTGTTGAAAGCGAGACCTACGCTTAGAGCTGAACTGTCGGCATACAATTAAAGAGCAAATAAGATGCTGGATCAAACAGCGGAGCAGTTGGCTTGTCAGAACCTAGACGCACAAGCAGTCACGGTGAATCTGAAAGCAACAAAAACAACTGTCACCAGCAACATAGAGGCAGCATAATTTCAGTGGTTATTTGTTTAACACGGCACAATACAAAATAAATGGAGAGAAGTATGGTTAAACATGAGGGTAATTTGTTTTAGATGTGTGGCATTACAATGGGGTTGAAGACCACATTTATTCACATCTAACTTCAGAGGTGTAAAACTGTGTCTACATTATGGCACAGTCTAAAATCTTTTTACTCTTTACTCGTGTGCATCATCCTCCTCCTAACCTCAAATCCCTTTTCCCTAAACAGCCGGAGATGAGTCCTGCTCAACAACCTCACATAAAACCCTTGTACCTTTAGCAGACAAAGCATATGAAAGTAAAGCCCTTAAGAATAATATGTTGGGACCGGATCTGCATGTCGTAACGTTGTCATAACCTGGAGCCTTGTGCTGTCTCTCTGAAGACAGTAGTTTTCAGGGCTCAGCGGGACAGTCACCTGACAGAAAGCGCTATAAAAATGGTACAAGAAGTGGAAAGCAGTTCTTCTTACATTTGTTCTAAAGATAGAAAGGTTTGACAATGTAATCTAAACCAGGAAAATATGGCTTGGATGTTAAAGTTCAGGAGATTAGTACTCGCTCACTCATCCCACCAAGACATCTGCTCTCCAGCTTATTCTTGGAGTTAATCCAATGTGTTGGGCCAAAAAGGATATATTGTTCCCAAAAGAAAGTTCTATTCCTTTCCTGGGTCTCCTCCCATTAAAACATGCCTGGAAGGATACACAGCAGATATCTGCAGATGCCCAAACCGTCCCAACTGCCCCCCTTTTGTGGTTAGAGGGGATCCTACCATGAGCTCCTTTGTCTTTACCTTTAAGATCCTGGGCGTTATTTTTGCAATACAATACAGGCCTGATGGCATTCTAACGGGGGAGACTGGACATTTAAATTCCCATCATCATCTTCTGGATTCATCTTATTTAGAGCCTTTTGTGATCATTAACGAAACAGGAGATGAACGGCATATTTGATTGTCTTGGCCTAATGAATGAATGTATGACCACAGCGTCATGTTCAGAAACATCGTAGTTTGTGGTTAAAGAAAAACATGGATCATAGATAAATTCCCATTTTCCAATGGGTCCCCAGATTAGGCTTCATAGAACAGAGCAAAACCCTTTCTTCTGTACTTTCTTGTTTGTCGGGACATGTCTTGCTCGCTGGTGACCAAATACGGATACCTTAGATATGTTATTGCAATTTCTGCAATAAAAGATGAAAAAAAATTTAACATTAAAGATTCAAGTATAAAATTCAGAATTCATACTAATTGATAATATACTGTGTTCTTATTAAACCTCCTTTCTGGACTGGAATCTGCCAGAATAATATGGAGGTTTGTTGCTTGGAGAAAAGATGTTTTGACATCCTATGTACATTTGTAACCCATATAACCTGAGCCATGTGAAGCATTCCATTTCCCTAAACTATCTATATATCTGACGCTCCATCCTGTCAATCAAGATGCTTCAATCTGACTAGAGCAGTCTTCTTTTTTAACCCTGGTCCTCACAGAAGACCTCTCTACGTGTTTTTGACAGTCTTCTGTTGTAGCACATCAAATTCAGATGATTACATATCAGCAAAAAGCCTAGTCATCAGTTAGAAATTAAAATCAGGTGTGCAGAAGCAGGCAACATGCAGGCAGTGTGACCTGAGGACCAAGGTTGAAAGACCCTGGATCAGAGACTCTAATCCAGAGAGACTATGTTCAACTGCAGGCATTAATGTTCAATTCTGATTTATATGTGACATCGGGAGCAGTGTCAGGCTAAGGGTTTTGCTCAGGAAACCAAAGTGGGGGGTTTGGGGATCAAACCTTGTACTTGCAACCTTCTCAGAGCACAAGCGCAGTGCTCTAACCACTAGGCCAACACTCTTCCTCAAGGGCAAAACTCCCTCTTCAGAGTGAGCAGTTCACCTTTATCTGAGGAAAGGTCTCATCTAGGGCTGAAACAATTAAGCCGATTAATCGTTGACTAATTTAGTAATCGATCGGATGTTAACTGGAGTGTAGAGTCTCTAAAGCATACCTTTAGCTGACAGAGCGACCAACTTAGAGCAGCAATTATACCAAAAAAATAAATGTGTAAACATTTTGCATTTAAGATAAAACTCTTTTTCATCCATCAATATGCTCCATCCAGAACTCCTCAAGTGGAAAAGCTTTATTTTGTGGTTCTTTAAGGAGCCTTTTGCTATCAGATTATTAATGAATTTGCAAAATAATCGTTAGTTGCAGCCCTAATCTCATCCCAACCGAATGTGACAGAATGAAGTAATCCGACTGTGGTTTAGAGAGCATGCATTAAAATCTGATAGGAAGCACATAGAAATCAAGAGAAATTGATGACAGTACATGAAGGAAGGCTTGAAAGTGATTTAATCAAATGGATTGAAATTAGTTTACTCTAAACTAATCAATGGCGTTCTAAAGGACGCACAGAGGAAGTGGTTAATCAACGATCGTAGACCGGAGCAAAAAAAAAAAAAGAAGCTTAAACAGAATGGTGATTAATGGGGGTCTGATAAGTAATTCTGAAACAAGTGGAATAGCTAATGGTAAAAGAATTTAAGAGGAAAAAGTGGAAGAAAAAGAAGAGTAGAAATAGAAGCACTGAGACATTCTGAGTGTTTCACTCTCCTTCTACCAGAGCACCATCAACCCATCTCTCCTCATTTGTACTCATTATGAAAGACATGTTATATTAAAAGAATAATGACATATAATTATTCCTACATTACTAAATTAAAAACTCCCTCTCTTTAGAACAGATGAGCTAAGTGTAACAAAGATGAAGTCTTCTTTCAAAACTTTATAACCATTGGAAACGCTGTTGAAGCTGGAAGCCAGAAAACACACCCAGATACACACACAGCGTAATGTGCTCTGTTAGGATCGTTAGCCGAGTTAATGTCCGTGCACTTGGCCCAATGAGTGCTAGCATGTCATTCGCCATGCTCCCTGAACAGATACAGAGATACAGATATAGACCTGCCTCTGGGGAAGACAAACGCATCCGCTCACACATAAAGATAGATATGCAGATGTGCAGACAGAAATAATAAGCGTATCTGCAGGGATGGCTTGAGGGTACCAGTCTTGTCGCTTTAAATTAGCTTGATGATATTTGAACACGCCCCTTTTTGTGATTCAGATGGTCTCTGTTCTAAGAAGGTTCAATCATGATACTAATTCTCCATATTTTTGCTTTTACTCTACCTTAATCTCACAGTTTTCCATGTTTATATATATTTAAACAGGCATTCTTGTCTGTGTAAAATTACCCTTTGAATTTTAAAGGAGGAAGGACTTCCAAAAGAAATTCAATGCATACCCAATTCCCTTCCAAGATATTTTCAAGTGTTTCAATTTAAATGAAAAGCCTCATGATATAACAAATTTTTTGGATCAGCATATAAATGGGTTATCCGTTCGAAATCCCCCAAATTCTCCCTCTGCTTTCCTCATCGCTGTCCGTGCCGTCTCATGTCGCTCTGCTTGACAGGGCAGGAAATCGCTCTCATTTCTGCTTTAATTCATTCTGATCAAACATGTCGCTCTCAATCAGCCCTATTTGATTAGGAGATGCCCGTATCACAGCCTGCCGAATAGGTAATGGCTGACACGCTTATATTTCTGTGTGTGCGGCGCTAACATGTCAGTTTGGTTCACTCATCATTTCCTGAAGCTGAAGGTGCCATATGAACAATGGCAGCTATGTTTTTGTGTGACTATCAGACTTGATACAAATTAAAACTGCTTCATTAATGGTTAGAAACTGTAACAATGCTCTCTCCAACTTTGTTACCACCATTCTCTGAATGTTTAGGTCATTTTTTGTACGTCTACCTCTACTTTTTTCTGTTTTGGTTTTCCAGAGAAATGGGGTGTCGGCTCCCGAAGCTGAGGAAGGCTGAGGAGAGGCGCAGTCCTGGCAACATCTACTCCACCCTCCGAAGGCCTCAAGTAGAGACAAAAGTTGGAGTGGCCTACACATACCACTTTCTGGATTTCCTCTTGGGGAAAGACGGTTTGAACAATCATCTCCTGCTGTCATAAATGATTGTCCTCCTGTGTTTAATTCAAATGTTAGGAATCCTTCACTTCCTAATGTTTTATCCTTCCTGAGAGTCTGGCCTGTAAAATCCAAGGGAGACATCATGTGATGCAACACAACTTGACTCCCACACTTACATTCTTGAAATAGTCATGTGATGCTGATTTTTTTATGCAACATCATTTGATTAAAGAGACACTTGTTTCTTAGGCTGTCATGTTTAGGTTTTGTTTATGGAAATAACTGTAGCTGTTTTAATACGAATAAGAAAAAGCCCATATAAAAAATATTAGCAGTGGGTTAAAGCTGATATTTGTTGCATTAGATTTTAGGTTAGAATGAAAGGATTTTATTGGGCACTACGCGATGTTAAAGCAATTATTTTACATCCTATAATGCTCTTCCTTTACTGATATGTTTGGTTTTGTTTTCGTATTAATTTCACCATTTTTATGCACTGTAAAAACGATCCAGAGATAAGTAATAATGTCTTAAAATTTTGTGTATTTACCCTTAATTTGAGTAGGTAAATAAGATTATTTGCCAATGAAATGAGTATTTTTACTCTGAAAATAAGATAATTAAATAATATGCACTTAAGATAAGACAACGCAATTTTCCCCCCTTATTTTAAATGTAAATTGTTTCGTTCTATTGGCAAAATGTCTCAATTACCACCTCAGTAAAAAAAAAAAAATGCACTTATTATAGGAGAAAATTGCTTATTTAGATTAAATTTTTTGCAGTGTTGGTGTTTTTTTTTTTTTTTTTTTTTTTTTGTCGATATAAAATAAAATTATGTTTTCATAATCTCTGATATCCAGAACATAGAGCTGCACTAGTATGTAAGTACCTGCATCATTACAGCATAGACACAGCAGCTCCTGATGGTGTTATTGGGATGTCAGATAAACTATTCAGCAACCTTGTTTTTCAGCAGTCAACAAAATGTGCAGTTTTTTCAAGCCAGTTATTATGTTCTCTGGCAAATTGTCAGTTCCTGTAAAAGTGTGTTTTTTGTTTCCACCTTTTACATATTAGCAGCCATATTGAACCTGACCTTTTATGCTGGTGGAAGACTTGCATCTCTCCAAGTTTAAATCTAACTTTACAAGGCAATATACTTTAATTTCAAATGTCTGGGTACAAATCAAACACATCATTAGTGCTAGACAGATAATTAGTGAGAAAAACCTCAAAGATCTTCAAAAAAACAATGAAAAACTATTGATCAAGGTCAATCGAAAATGGTGTAAAGAACAACTCCATACACCAGAACCAAATTTAAAATAATAATAAAGTTTTCTAAGGTTATTTAGCAAATCTTAACAAAACCCTTATAGATACTTTTATTACTTGCATCTAATTCATTGAATCCTACCTGCTGAATAGTAAGAGATCTGTTGAATTAAATAAAGTGAGGGAAGGGATTTTTGTTAAGGGAGACTGGATGAAGCCGAAATGACAGAAATCAGGTTACTGCACCCTGCTCAGTTGGTAGGTATTGTTATAATTAGTTTAGCTATATTATTTTGCATAGCTTCATTGGGATTTGAATGGGATTGTGCGTAAAGTACAAAACATATACGTTTTCAACATTTTTACAGATTCAGACATTTGTAGATTGCTTTTGTATTAAGCTGTTTATATCAAATTAGTTTATAGAGGCATTTTGTAATGATACTGCCACCTGTGGCCAAAGCATGTAACTGTAGCACTCTTCTGCTTGTTCTCTCTCGTACTCGACAAGGTTAGGTTTTTTCACCTTACCAAGAGTTGCCATTGCTGTCCCAGTTGAGCTGGATGCTGGTCTGTTCTCAGTATCCACAAAATCCATCTTGAGTATAACCCTTCGATTGTCTGTAGGCTGGAGCTGTTTAACATGGATGCACATCCGCCGAACAGCACAGGAAATTCCGACCAAAGTAAATTAGAGAAAATAGGCTACAGGCTTATAGATGCATCAGCGCGGAACTACTGAGAGTTCATTCTGCTCACCCAACAATGTTTTAATTATAAAGGTTAAAAAAGGGGCTACTTTAAAAATATTGTTCTGTAAAAACTTACATAATGTCCTTCTTGGTAGGGTAAAGGGGACTCAATATAAGTACATGCCACTAGTTTCAGACTTTTATTTGTGAGGAAATTATTACAAGTTATTCATCCTATTCATAGCTATGCGCTGCAGGGTGTTGTTCTATTACTCAAAATCAGGATAAATTAGAATGAGTGATTGTGATGTGAGGAAAAGTAAAAAGCTTGAGGGTTCTTAACACTTCACCTGAACATGTCTTTGTAGCAAGTTTCAAATCATGATGGCGATCTTTCTTTCTCGTTTATTTCTAAGCTTGTCTACTCTCATGGTTCTACATTCATGTAGTTCCTCTTCCTTATGAAAGGAAGATAATTAATGAACAGTGGAGACATTTCAGAAGCACAGCTAAAACAAAAAGAAGGCCTGATCTCTGGCTTTGACATTCGGCTTCATTCGGATTCATTCGGATCTGTTTCATGTTTGTCCCAGTTCCAGCCTAGAGAAAGCTTCACGTTTCTTCCTTACAGAGTAATTCCCTTACCTTGTTCGGTTTCTTTCTGGGCCTTTTGTGGCAAAAAAAAATGACTCTGTTTTGCCTAATGTGCCTTTTTCTAATAAACAGAGCTGCTATTCTTCTTTCAGCTCCTAAAAAAATGTTTAGGTCTGCAGCCTTACAGAGCTTTATTTTGTGTTGTACTGTAAGTATCTGCAGGGCAAAAAAAAAGTGGCTTTTAAAGCTGAAGTTGTTTCTCTGTGCAGCCGGTGTTACAGGGAGTTCAAAGACTTCTTTAATTCTCAGATTCAGCTATACGGAGCATAGCGATGCCCTCCAACTTCATCACACAGCGGCAAGACTCCACAGCTAAGGTGCTTTTGAAAAGGGTTGCATTCTATCGTATTTTTTAGGCGAATATGGAAAACAACTGACTTAACGTGGGCGAATACATTTTGAACACAATGCATCTAGAGTATATTTGATGTCAATCCTCTTGGGGCTCCTATTCTAAAAATACCAATTCTCCCATTGTGTTGGTGTGGTCTGTGAAGAAACAGACAGGAGGGACAGGGTGAGGGGAAGAGAAACGGATTGAAGGAAACAATGTATTGAAGGATTATTTTAGGAGAAAAAACATTTTCTCATGGCTGACTGTTTGTACAATCCCACGCAGCACACTCCATCACCTCACAAGCTGCAGGTGCGAGTAGATCATTTCCACCCCATTTACATGCAGCTTGAAATGCAACAGTGTGACATGCAGCAGGCGTGACGCCACAGCCGAGTGGCAGCGGTCCGGTTGCCAGTCGGCTTTGCCGTCAGCCAGCCCTGTTGCGTTTGGCGAATGGGTTCGGTTGCTGGGATGACAGAGGGAATTTTGGCAACCCAAAATGATGGCGCAGATCAAAAACAGACCAAAGACATGGCGGCCACTTGTCTTCTTTGTTGTCAAGTTGTTGTCTGCATTTGTCAAACAGTTGCACCTTAATCGCTGACCATAACCTCCATCTCAATAGTTTAAAAAAATGGAAAAAGGGAAACAATTGAGAGTAAATGCAAAGATGGATAAAAACACTAAATTGGAGGCTTTTGAGTCTTAAGAGGAGACTGGAGGATTCATTTTTTTAAAACAATAAAGATGCAACCAAAGCTACAGTGCATTTTCTTTTAAATCCAGGCCTATTGAACAGCTCTAGATGTGCATCTAATTGAAAATGTGTGGGAAGACTTGTAAATTAATGTTCACAGACGCTTGAATCTCTCTAAAGCTTGATATATTTTTAGATGTGCAAAGCTGGTAGAGAAAGCCCAAAACATTTGCAGCTGTTTCGCAAAAGAAAAGCGTTTTTACTCAGGAACATCCAATACTAAGGCACTCTTCTAATATTTTTATTAGTGAGAATTTTAATCGAAGGACAAAAAAACTAAATATCACAATGATGCAACATTTTATGTTGGTCTATTTATATAAATCTACCCCAATAATATGTCAGCATTTTGGGCTGGGGGGGGCAACTAGTGTAATTCCTCCTTCAAATCCGATGTAAAGCCACAGAAACACTATAAGACCACACACAGCCACACAAAGTGCTATGCAAGCACCCAGGTGGGTTCATTTGGCCTCACACAAACACTTTATGGCACTCAGTCAACAGAGTAAGTTTTATCTACCAGCAGACAGGCAGGTCATTTATATGGTAAATCCCTGATGCCACCTGAGCTGCTTAAGATGGGTAGACCATATTTTAGGATAAAGGCAGCTTGTATGATTTGATGGTGTGTGTGTATGTGACTGTGAATGGGTATATGTCTGCCTCCTTTCCCCCCCTTTCTATCTGTGATAGAGAGACCAAGAGAAGTAAAGGATTCCTGGAGGATTATCTGATTGTTTGTGGAGATTGAGAGACCTCATTCCGAGCAAAGGGATTATTTGTGTGTATAGATATATGGGTGTGTGTGTGTTTATAAGGGGCAGATAGAGGAATCTCTGTGTAAGCCCATGACATTGAGGAAACCCACGGTCAAATTCATGCTTTAATTCAATTTGGCTTTCATTAATGGCATTATTTTTTCCCTGCCAGTGTGACTTGATGACTCCTACACAGCAAGGAAAAACAAATGTCTCCTCCCAGGCGCCCATGTGAAATATGTTAGAAGAGAGAGGCTTGTTTATTAGGCTAGATTGCGTTCTCAGGATGAACCACTTTGTGCTCTGAATGAGGAGGAAAACAGTGAGTTTTTCCCGACTTGACCTCTGACAAGTGAGTGATGAAACAATACGGCCACTGATCCGGAGTCTGTCTTCATTTTATTGGCCTTAATTCCAGCAATGCTTGAGCTGAGAAATATTTCTGTGTAACTAAGCCTCTTCTTCTCACACGGGTCACAGCGACCCCGCAGTGAATCCAGGGAGGATGAGGAGAAATATGTTGCACAGTTCAG